AGCGCTTTTGCATTTGTATAGAATTAGGCCATTGCTCTCAGTCAATTCCGGTTTAGAACCGAAAGTGCCTGAAGGTTTAGTTCTCCTAAAACAAAATTTCTGTTCTTCGTAAATAGAGAAAGCTAGTTAAGTTAGGGGTCTCTGGACTGAGGGGAGGGACAGAAGGAGAAGGGTTGAAAAAGCACTAATATTTTAGTTCACAAAAAAGTACATACCTTAGTAAGAAATGAAAGAGCAATTGTTAAAGGATAAGGGCTTAGTGGTAAGTTTTACATATTGCAAAATGTGAAAGTGACCGATTCAAATGGAAATGTGATGTTAATGCATTTCTCCCCCAGCCCATGCCCAGGTTTTTTTTTTGGGGGGGGGAGGACAAATGGAGTGAAGCAAGCTACAGCTATCAGTGCAAAGTCTCTAATTAAAGAATTCAGATATCCATGAACATGATTCAGGTGTTTAAGACCAAAAGTCATAGGCGATATTACGATCAAAAAGCAGATGAAAGAGGGTAAAGTGCAACAAGACCAGCCTAGGACTCAAGGCTTTGGGAGAATGCAATAGGAAAGGGTTACAAAATGATGTCGTTTGTAAGACGGTTTATACATTACAACAGCAGCGATCAGATGGCTAGCTTAAAACTTGACTACAATAAAAGAAAACTTTTTTTTTTTTCCATGCCAGAATGAAGAACAAGCAGATGACCGTGATAGGACATGCAAAGCTAGGCTAAAGGATGAAAGGAGCAGAGTATTAGAAATGCAGAATTCCCCCCACTCACTTGTGATATCATAAACAACAACTGCAACAGTGGAGTCACGAATGTAGCTAGGAATCAAGCTCCTGAACCGTTCTTGACCTGCTGTGTCCCATAATTGCAACCGTACCTAACAAAATCAGTCAAACAAGCAAGAAAAATAAGAAAAAGGTCAAACCCAGTGCAATATACCTACTTGTGATATCGTAAACTACTACAGCAGCAGCAGAGTCACGGATGTAACTGGGAATGAGGCTACGGAAACGTTCCTGACCCGCAGTATCCCACAGCTGCAACCTGATCTGTGGGTGGGAGAAAATTAAAAAAGCCAAACTGCCACTAAAAATAAAAGAGTAAATAAGTTTTACTTTTTGAAAAAAGCTAAATAAAAATTATAAACTCATGCAGGAGATGACTGGGGACTGGGAGCAGCAGCATACTGTCTCCTTCACAGCAATCTCTCCCAAGCGCTACTAGTAGCCAAACTGGTATACGTGCACCTATCTTGGCTTTCCGCTGTCTTTGCTTTTTAAAAAATGCTTCCCTTCCAAAAGGGGAGAAATAGAATTGCTCAGCTTTCAAACTGAGAGGCCCAACAAGAAAACTAAGGCAAATGTTCACCTGCAGTTCTGCCTACACAAGATTTTCATGCTCTGCTGCTATCCTTCCTCAGGACTCACGCACGTAACCTCCAGCAGCTTGGAGGGTGGTTGCTGGTGGAAGAATCAGACCACACACCGTACTTCTGAAGGAAGAGCCTTCAGCTGCTGTCAAAGCACTGGAAAAGCTACCAATGTGAATTTTTCAAGTAGGATAAAATGCTAGTTATTACTCTGTATTTAAGCCTCAGCCACACTGCAAAGTAACATGCACACAGATGAGGTTGAACACCTCTTACCATCAAGGTTCTGAAAGAAAAGGCAAGATATACTAAAAGCAACATGTATGGCAAGATGCGCACGGGCCAGTTTTGCTATGGAAAGAACATCTCATCGCTCAAGCACTTCCAATGCAATCACATTTATTGTGGGTTTATACAACACCGTAAGCTTAATGCAGCACTGCACAATTTGCTTCTGCAAATAGCTCAATGGCTGAATTTCTTAATTAAGAATCTGAGCTCATTTTAAACCACAGGCTTGCTTCCACAGAGGAGTGATTTCATTTCAGGAACTAGAACTGCACCAAGCTAAGAAACAAGTATCATTTGTGGATCGCTATTGAAGGTAACCTTCTTTTTAAACAAGTAATATTAAGAATATTGAGCTAGCTATTAACTGGCAACATTTGGCAGTTTATATTTATCTTTCTGTCTTGTGACATCAAAAACTGAAGGGGTTAAGCACGGTCCCCTTCTCCCAGCTTCCCACCATTATGCACCCCTCAGACTATCCATATCATCTCTTTCTTCAAAGAGGATGATGCTATAGCACCTTCCGCCACTTGTAAAATGGCACTCATGAGCCCTCCACAGATGAACCAAATGGTGATTTCCCATTTCCCCAAACAGAGAAGGGAGCCGTCTCCACAGCACTTGTCAGTCTGGAAGCAGCTGGTAGATGAAGGCTCAGTCTGTACTTCCAAGGGATCTCAGAACTGTGGGCTGCACAATTACAACAGATGCTGATCCTCGTTCCTACTGTACATAGAGAAGTGCAACAAAAATCTTACTCACTGTTCGATCCTCCAAATACATGGTTTTCGATAAGAAGTCAATGCCAATTGTTGCCTGTAAAAAAAAAAAAAGAAAAAACCAACACCTCTTAAATAAAACGTGAGAACAACTGCAGTGATTTTCAGGAGAGCGAGCATTACTTGACACATCAGAACTCAAGCACCTGTAGCGCATCTGCAAGAAACATATGCTGGTTTTCTTACTTTCACGATATAGCTCTACCTATAAGCAAGATTCAATAAGCAGTTTCCTTAATATCCATAACCAGAACAATATCTTAAAGCACAAAGAGTTGTTAACCTTAACTTCAGTTTATGAACATTGGCAGTTTAATCCATACAGTCATATGGGTATCAGCAAGGATTTTTATGCATATGACCTAAGTTAGTGTCCATCAGCTGAACCAGGATATCTGGGCGCACTGTATTCTTCCTGACTGCCAAATATCTTAATGTATCTTAACTCTAAGCCTTTTTCGTTAAGGCTAAGGTAGACATATTCACAGCTGCTGCAACACAAGAGCGCACACGCACACATGGCCCCCAAAATTACTAAAGCTCACTGCAGCATAACTGCATCCAAGTTTCTAGACACTAGCGGGAGCTTCGCGTAGAACATCCTTACGTGTGTTTAACAGAAAGAGCAAAGCACTACTAAGCGCTATCAAGAGCTGCTTCTTAAATACCAGATTTTTCACCCCATTTTTCAAGGCTGCAGTGAGGGTGAATCCAAGCTCTAGGAGTTCGTTTGCAGCAGGGATACAACCGAATTGACCTGTTGGGGCTATAAGGCTGCCCTGGCTTCAGCATTTTTTTTTTTCAAGCAGCTGCACCGCCCAGCAACATCAATGGAGCCTGGAAGACGTTCCAAACAAATTGATTTAAAAAGAGAAAAAGAAAAAAACAACAGATAAGAGGTGAGTCTCTCAGCTAGGGCAAAGAGGCTTGATACTTCTTCCCTGCTCTCCCACACTGAAGCAGGTATTTCTAATGGAGAGTGTGTTTTACTGTATATGCTCCTTACTGTTAGACTGCTATTATGCCCTCGCTATATATCCCCATAATTAATGCCTTGTATTCTGCCAGATATTTTACATGGTAGGAATAAAGAACAGAGCCAGCCAGCCTGTTTGCGAGCAATACAGAAAAAACAGTTGCAAATGAACTAAAAAAGCAGAACTGAACAATCCAAACTGAATTTCCATTTGCAACTAAATATAACACATCAGAAAACAAACTCTCCTGGCTGGATCGGGACAGCAGTTTTGGAGTTCCAGAGATGCAGACAGGAAAAATAAATACTGGTGGGTCTCAAGACGGCTACCCAGTGATTTTCACCTGTCATCAAGAACCGTGACATCACCAGATCAGAGAGATGATACTGAAACTGTAAGGTGGATACAAGAAGCCTCAAAAGACTAATGCAACAACATGCTTCGCTTCCACTTTTGTTTTCTATTGTTTCGGTAAAGGGTACTCCTTGGAAGATTGCCTCCAAGATGCTTCTATTTTCCCTTGTGTCTGTTTGATTTCGCTTTACAGAAGAAAAGCTACAAAACCCCTAAGATCTTACACCATATATATAAGTCAGGATCCCATTCTGCCCGACAAACTGCTGGAGACTCAGATTTTCTCTGCTCTCAGTAGGAGCTGGAACATCAGCTGCAAAGCCCGAAACCTGCCTCAGCCTGTACTTCATGCCATTCCTCCCACACAGCCGCACAGCAGCAAGAGCTCTGAAGCTCACTCACTGCCATAAGAAGCCTCTGTATGCCTGGAAGAAATGCAAGTGCCATGCAGAAATGCATTGGGTCAGTGAGATTCCTGCACTTGAACGCTCAACGGCATGGGAAATGCAACAGAAAGGACAAGCCCAAAACTTATTTTAGATCTGGGTGATGAAAATATTTGTGCTAATCACATTGAGAAGAACGTACGGCAGGTCTGTTACTTTCAAGCTGTGAAATGGCTCTTGACCTAAGCCCCCAACAAGCTTTAAGAATTACATGGAGTAACTTACAGCCAAATGTATTTGTCCACCTGTACTGTTCTGACCATACCACGACCATACAGAGAAGCAGCAGATGTCAAGGAGCGGATTCAGGCACTCTAGGTCCCAGACTTTTACTAAAATAGGTAACCTACAAACAGGCATTTTGTCACAATTCTAACAGAAGGAGCAAAAAAGCTTGGGGGATCTTTACAGATCAGTTGTGAAGAAGAGCTGTGCAATGTATGAGTGGAAGAAAAGTCTGCTTACTGATGGGGAAAAAAATACATGGACATGAAACTAAGCTAATTATCGTAATTAAGGTGGCGGCAGGTTTAACCCGCTGGTTCCATGTGATGCAGAGCATTTCACAAGCAGGAACTAGGCATGCTCTGAACATGATGCGATGTACTGTAAGCCCCAATTGCAAGTTTAAAGACAAGCAGAACAAAAAAAGATGGGGCTGTGTATGAGAACACTTTTTAATCCACCTGTCCTTACAACACTACTGTCAAATAAGGACCTGTTGTTACCCCATTTTATAGACTACACTTGCTGACACGGAATTACCCAAGACTAGGCAAGGAAGCCTGAGGCAAAGCAAGAACCTGAATTATCTTTCAAGTCACAGGCCAGTGTTTCAACTCAGCGCTGTCCTCCCTCTCCCCTCCTCCGAGAGGCTGAAGCTAAAGGGAAGCGTGGCCTGTAATTCTCCTCTTGCCTAACACACACAGAATCATCATGTTTGCCAACGTTGGCCTTTCATTATACATCACATAAGGTGCCACAGAACAAGGAAAATCTTCCCCAGCATGTCCATGGAGAGGAATCACTCCTGGTAAAATAGACACCACCAATGGCACAATTTTATTTCAGGTGCTTGGGTTTCCTTGACACAGTACAGCGAGTTCTTGTTTGATTCACAAATGCCGCTTTCATGAAACGAGCTTATTAATAAGCTACGGGCAACAGCTGAATTCCTCTTATCTAGCAGCAAGCAAAAGAAAACTAATGCACAGCATGGATTTTATTAAACGGCAGCTTTCTATTTTTACCAGCTGAACACAAAAAACCTTGTTCAAATGACAGGTTGTGGCAGCTTTCAGTAAATATGCATTCAAAATTTATCAGAAATGTCCAGAATGAGCAAATCACCCATCAACCAACCTACAGCTACAGTTAACCACATACACGGCTTGATATGCATTATCATTTAAGTACTTGGCTTTGAGAGGTCTCTATACATTTCTCTGGGCATTGAGAAATTTATATTCTGGTTTGACACTAACACGTGGTGTAATTTTGGCCAAATTACTGGAGCTTTTATGACTCATTCTTTCTTCCAGCTATAGCAAAATAGGACATATTGCCCTACCTCAGTCATGACTTCAGTAAAATAGAGGTCTTTGGATGAATGACACTATACCAAGTACATTAACACCCAAACTAGACATGCATCAGTGATACCTAAATTGAAGCTATCTTGTAAGCCCTTAAGATTTCTTACTGTTTTAAGTCCCACTCATTCATTTTGCAATCATTTAGTATTATGTCAGACCAGCTTCCCACAGAGACAACTATATTATCATAAAGCACAGAGGGTCAAACCTCTTCGAGAAAGAACTAGGACGCAAGCTCCGTAGAGAAAAGGAGCAGACCTGAAAGAAAAATACTGTGGGAAAAAAACAGATTAAATAAAAGAACTGCATTCACATGTCCATGTAATTACAGTGGGTAGAATTTGAAAGGATGTTTGCTCCCTTGGGAGCAATGATGTGTACTCTAGCCCTCCTACGCTATAGAAGCTTTGCTTCTCCCATAGTTGAGTGAGAACTTATATCTCATTCTACCCAACTTGCCTAGCAGCAGCAATGAGGAATTACTGCAGAGCCAGGAAGGAAATCATTAAGGGGTAAAGAGATTTAAACGAGACACTAAGTAACAGAAGAGTCACAGCGTTTTTCTTGTTTTTTTTCCCCATTACCTTCACATTCATCAGGGAACAGATTTTTCTCAGCTTAGTGTATTCAGAACGTCACCGACTGTAACCAAGTCATGAAACACGTTCTGCTTGGAGAAGACACGCTTTATGAAACTGAAGTACTTTTACAGCTTGCCACCTTTTCAAGCTCATCCTAAATTCTGGGAGTGGGCAACAACGATTGCTATCCTAGAATTTAGGCAAGTTAGCCTGCGTCAACTTGAACTGATTTGCCACCAAACGTGAAGTAGCGAGGGGGCTGCAGGACCGATTGGAATAAAAGACAACCACTGCTTCAGCCCCAACCTTGCCAACCCCAATCTTGTTTAAACAATAAATAAGCAGGCACAGGATGGGCACGTGCACAACCACCAGTTTTGTGGTCTCTGTTCCAGCAGACAGCATAAAATAGCGTCCTAAAGCACACCCAGCCCTACAATCCACTGCTTTCTGCTCCACAAGTCATTGTTCACCCCACTGCAGAACCTCTCGCAGCTCAGCTTGTTTCTTTTTTAAGAGAGACAGGTACCTGTTACATTTTCCCCACAGAGGCATTACATCTGCAATGGTCTGGTAGCAAATGGTGAAAAAAACAAACAAACAAACCCTGGCAGACTTAACAACTGCTATTAGTTGGGTATACCCAAGAAGCCTATCCTTTCAAACCATAACTTATCCTGCTGCAAGTAGCAGATAAGCTACTCAAGCAGAATCCAACACTGAAATGCCATTCTGAAAGTTTATTAAAATACAAAAGCTTGAAGATTTTACAGTTACGAATTTGGTCAGTGTACCAACTCTTATCCACTGCAGTCAAATGGATTCTTCCTGCAATAGGAGACACGGCAACAGAGGGGCCTTACAGAAGACAGTAATATGGATTAATTTACCTGGTAGGTGTTGTCAAAGCTGTCGTACATGAACCTGGTGATCAAGGAAGTCTTCCCCACTAGAAGAAGAAAAAAAAAAACAACCACAGATTCAAGGAACAATTTCAGTGCAAGTTTTAAACAAGTGATTTAAAAATGGTTTCAGGAGGAGTTTTACTTTGGGTCCAATAGATCCATACTGTGCAATTAAACTTCCTACGATCAAAAAGAGCAGTTACTTGACTTTGCAATTGCAAAGTCACTAGTAGACATATTTTTTTCTGAAAAAGGTTGGCTCCTGTATCATTCCTGAGCATCAGTTTTACTCTTAAACATTCTTGATTCGAGATGAAAATTGAAATAATTTGATTGGTCCAGTTTCTACCAAGTCATTCAGAAATTTTAGTTGAACTAAATGAACAAATGTAATAGGTCTGACAACCCCTACAACAAATTATTATAAACAAGACAGCTCTTCTCGCTCATAAAACGAGGTAGCTATGTCGCTTTAAAATACATCTCGCTGCGCATCTCCTCAATGTCACACTCTCCATATCTGTCACACAAATGGCAGTCCCTGCTGCAGCATCACGGTAGCATAAGACAAGATTGAAGAGCTTCATTGTTGAGAGGCTTGTTTACCATCGGCCCACAATGCCTGCAGTCCTTACCACTCCATTAAGTTCACCCTTCCTTTGACAACATATTCACTATACCTTTTTGTACAAGCAGGTTCGTATGCTGTTAAAAATGCCATTATCCACCCCAGCGATGGCGGCAGCTCGTGACCGGTATATTTGCTTGGCTGTTCAGCATTAGGAGGAAGTCAGTCGGCACTGCAATCAGAAGGTGTCACTGCAGCATGTGCAGGCACACCTGATAGTCACAGAGACACAGGCAAAGCCTTTTTCATGCAGCCATTTGTGATGCTGCAGCTCCTCTGTAACTCTGACTCAGCTTGGCCAGGTTAAGTCACAAACTACATCAAACTATGTCAAGATCCTCATTTCATAGCCGAGATCGACACAAACTGTGTGTATTGTAACATTCCAGACAGGTTATCAGACTACCTTGTAATCTCATTTTCCTTAAAAGACAAACAAGAGGTGCATTTTAAAACAATCATTGCCACAACAGTTGCTTTCTACTCCTGTAAGACCAACGATACAGCTGAGCTGGGACAAAGCCTAACTTATACTCAATGGACAACTTTTTCCTGCTCCATGCCATCTTCACCCGGAGGGGACCGGCAAGATATGCAAGAGCTGGAACACCTCAACCTGCCTCATTTCAATATGTTTAAACACTCTTAATTGTAGGCAAATTATTTAGGAAACAACTGAAATTACTCAAGAATATACCACCTCTAGCTGACTTATGTTAGCCATCAAACGCTGCAGGTACAGGTAAAAGGCAGTTAGATGTGCACAAGCCAAAGCTTGTTTTGTGTTCTTCAAATAAGCTTCCAGAGATGTTAGTTCTCTGCAAGGGTGACCATCAAGAGAGCAGGGGAATTTAAGCCAAGATTTGAGTGTGTGTATGTGTGTGTGTGTGTGTGTGTGTGTGAGGGGGATGGTGTTTTGGGGGGGTTTCTGTTTTTTGGGGTTTTGGTTTTTTGGTTGTTTTTTTTTTAAATCTTAGTATAAAAGTTTCAACAAAATCTCCAGTATTGTTCTTAAGCAGCATTTTAATCCATCTGCAGACGTTAGTTAACTCTGTAGAAGTGCTAAATTAACAGGAATCCAGTAGACAGCCTTTGAGAAAGAGATTTTCCCAAGTCAAAATCTGAATTCCTGTGTGAATTTTTAACATATTCTGCCCCATAGGCATAAGCAGGTTTCCCACAAAGTTAAAAAGCTGCCTTCACAAAGGTAGAGCCAACATTCCCTTTGGTGAGTAGGTTTTTGGAAGCAACGCATCTCAGACGGGCAGGATTGCTGAATCCCCGATTCAAATTTGTCCCAGGCCCCCACCGATGCATTGAACAAGAGCACAAGCTGGTGCAGGACAGGCAGCCACGGGCTGCGAGAGGAGGAGGGTTTCACTCCAGACCCAGCAACAGCGACAAGCCTCAAGGGACAGAGATGAGCAAATTCAATACCTTTCCCACTGCAGCACACACTATAAATCCCAGTAATGGGTTTGCGGCACCACAAACAAGCTGGCTTTTTCTCACGTGGCCACTGATGGAAACAGTCAAATTTAATTCTTTAGAGGTGCAAGGGGATGTAATCAAACCCATGAAATAATTCACTTTGGTTAAGTCACAACCCCTGAAGAACATTGAAGTCTTCTGGCAAATCATTTCCCTTCCCACTATACACTGAAATGTCTTGGAGGGAGTCTCTCTAGAAACTATAAAATCTGAAAAGATTCTCTATTTCATATTCCTGGAGCTTCCCTACCCTACCTTCACTCATTTCACAAGAAGAGGGGAAAAATAAGGTGCTGCTTGGCTTGCTTAAATTTAAATATCTGCTTCAACCAACATTGGATAGAGTGTCTTAATGCACTTCGGTTCTAAGACATTTCTTCTCCAAAAAGACCAAGGTTTTCTTTACACAGTATGTCAACAGGCACCAGATCAAGTCAATATTAATACCAACTGCTTACGGTTTTAATTCCACCATGGCTACTGAGTATGTGTCATTTCTCCTTAAAAAAAAAACAACAACAACAACAACAACAACAACACCCAAAAAAACCTTGCTTTAAAAATCCTGGCAGAAGCAAAAGCCCACAATTCCCACTGTATCTATAATCGATAGGCAAAGTCAGTGAATCTTCTCTTCAGAAATTCACAAGCTTATATAATCTAAACAGATACCTTGTCCAGAGGGTTACAGGCTTTAAATATTCCTTCTTTAAAAGAGCCACTTCTAATACTTAACACCATCTCACCTCTCCCCAGCCTCCCCACACATGCTGCCCTGCCTGCCAACGGCAGAAACTACCCCCAGCCCTACAAAAAATAGCCGAATGAATCACCTTAGGATTCATATACCATCTGTTGCACACTAAAGTGATGTGGATGCATATGCCGATTCTCCTGTGGAAGCCGTGCTGCTATAAGCCCCGTTTCAGAGCGCTTGAATAGAGAACGAAAACACACAGGAATTAATCTATCGTCAATTATGTTGATCACATTTCTCCCATATGGAGGCACACAGCACAGGCCCCTGGGCTAGTCATAGCTAAAAGCATTGTCACACATGATTTTGTGAGTACACCGAGTACTTAAACATGCTAACTGTATTTGTGACAGACCTAACACAACAGTTAAACTAGATTCCCAGTAAGGATAATCCCTTACGAAGGGAGAGCCCATCGTGCAGCTAGCACACCCCAACCTGCAGAAACAGCTGATCTTTTTCCCCGCCCTTGGCGGAGCAACGAGGATGGGCCATTGAGCCACAGTTCACCATTTGCTTTTGGAGTCCAGCCCCTGGGCTCTTGGGTGAGTTTTATTTTTACATCCGTTTTTATTTGGAACGTCACAATGGAGTGTTAAGCCCCTGTGCATGACTTTAAAAAGAAATAAACATAACAATAATGAAGAACATTGCCAAAAGAAGAACCAATTTATCGACTGAGGATCTGCAGGAGAGTTTGAATCCCTCCGTTACATATTTTCACTTGCTTTCTATTCTGTCTTGCTGGCTGTATGTTTATCAAATTCACAGGAGGCATTAATTTGGGAGCGACTGCAAGCAAGAGGACAGAATCAGAATTCAAAATAATCTTGAAAAATGCAGAAGTGACCTCAAGAGGAAAATGAAGCTCAGCAGGGAGAAGTAGCACAAGGTAATACACACAGACAAGAACAACCGGCTGCTTAAAATACAGATTGCAAACAACTGGGTATTGCAAGCGATCTGGGGGTTATAACCAAAGGAAGCAGATAAGACAGTCCAGACTTCAGCCTCATTTCATTAAGCAGGTTGTTTTTTTTTTTTAAAGCTACTGAGTAAAATTTCCACACAGAAGTACGTCCAGGGCAGCATTAGTCAGCGATGCGGTAGCATACAACATCCTTCAGGCCAAAATATTTCTGGTATGCTGGGACAAAAGAAAAAAAAAGAAGTTAACATGATCCTTGGAGAAACAAAGACGGGGGAGGAAACGCTGCGAATGGGGTTTTACTGCAGTGCACAGCTTTGGCTGGAGCAGCGAGGGGGATTCTGCTGGACACACTGACAGCAAGTGAAGAAAAACCTCAAACAATTTAGGAGGTGAGAAGGAACTTTTTGGCAAGGAAAAAAGGCAGCTTGCCTAGTTTACCAGAACAACTGAAAGGTGACGGACAGCAGAGAAATAACTTAGCGATAAGGAAAGGTGGTCTCCAGCCTCTTGGCCTTCTGTAGATCAAGATCTAACAGCTGAAAGCCAAGTCCCAAGTCCTACCAGAAAAGGCACCCAATTTTAAAAGTGAGGGTAATTAAACTCTATTCAGCTGGGCAGTGGATTCTCCTCCATTCCTTGACACACAGTTGTCAGATTTTATTCCTGTGTAGGAATTTACACGCAAGGCACCCAAGAATTTTTTGAAGCAGAGGGAAGCTAAGAAAATAAGTGATTAACCAAAGAAACCATTTGTTCCAACACTGCACCTGAACATCAATTTTAGAAACTCTGTCATTAAGTGGCTGAACAGCAGCAGCAGCAGCATGGGTTTCGTTAGATGAGTTTTCTGCTCCTTCAAGCTTTTGATCCAATGAAAACAAGGTCCGCATTAACCAGCTCCTAATCACAAAGCTGTGGCTCAGACACCATTGCTTAAATGCACAGATTATCAAGGTACACTCCTCGATGGGAAGGCAGCCAGCTCCAACGGGAATTTTTAAGCTTGTATCCGACTTGCTCAGATGGTTTTCTTCAGCTATTCCAGCTCTGGAAGAATCTGGACCTAAAGATCACTGGTGGCTCCCATACTGAACTAGCTACTCACCGGCTGCAACTGTACTCACCTTCCTAACCATCAAACCTGAACACCACACGTTGATACACGCTGCAGGGCCTGTGTGGTGCTTTTTTCTGGGAGGCTGGGGGAAGAGCAGAGAGAGAAGTGTTTTGCTGTACAAGGCAGTAAG